ACAAATTTAGACTCAATAGTAGAAAAAATTATCATTTTAATGGACAAATTCCATAAAAAACGAAGTCAAATGGACACCAAATTTTCAACATTTTCCATGGAAAATTATACAAATCAAACACAATTAATTACAATTCCCAGTAAAACATTTTCTAAGAAAATCAATTCCCTGTAAAACATTTTCTTTCCACCCATTTTCCACCCTTGCAATCAAACGGACCCTAAGAGTTGAGGATTTGGACAAAAATGATGCCTAATATTGGGTATGGTGACTATTTCATGAAAGTCGCTAGCTAGTACAGTATGCTCTCAACATGTTATACATAAATTTGATAATTGCAGAAGTATTAAAGTGGTACATCTTTGGATATAACTTTGGAAAAATTGCAGCGGAGGTCCCAAACCTTTCATTTTGTTGCAGAATATACTTTAACCTTCTATTTTTGCGGCTGCAGGCCCAAACCTTTTACTTTAATGGCAACCGGAGTCCATTGGATGGATTCCATCCAGAATCCCGTTAGTCAACATTGAAATTGGAATTTTGACTCAAATAGACAGATTAAATGGAGGGTAAAATGGTTAATTTATATTTCTATAAAAAATAATTAAATCAAAAAATTCATCTTCTCCAAACCTCACCCCTCTCTACCCCTATCATGAAACCCGATCAAAATCAACCCCATCTGATAACCATGGATTTTTTGGCCATTAAATTGCACCGAGTGCATCATCCATGGTTCCTGGAAGGCGGTGCTTCGACTCCCGACGATAGTCGACCGAGTAAACACCGCGAGTAGTGTTGAAGAGAGCCGGAGGCAGTTGTTGTTACAGTTTAGCGACCAATCCAAAACCCACTGCCACTTACTTCGCCACCTAAATGTATTGCACTCCACTAGGATCAAGCCTATTTGCCAACGCCTTATTCTTTAGAACCTTTTGAATCCCAAAGCACTTGCCAAGAATGTAGTGAGGAATGCAGATCATACAAAGCAATTTCACCAATTAGTTTTGACTTTTTTTTCAGATTTTTTATTTTTGGCGTTGCTTTTGGATGAAGTGTAAATGGATTTGCTTCCCCAATTAGATTTGACGCTTATTGCGGTTGCTACTAGACAACGAGTAAGAGAAGTAAAATTCTTCGATTGAGGATAGTGTTGATGGAGGACAGTTGGGGTTTTGGGGAAAATTTTGATTGAGGGTGGAGTTGACGGGCATTGGGGGTTTTCAGCAAGCAAAACAAAATTATTTGATTGAGGGCAGTGGTAGGGCAGTGTTAATGTGGCAGCAATGGTTGGTGTCAATGGTAAGAATTCACCGAGTTCCAATTTTTTATTTTGAAGTTGGAAGTGGGGGTGGAGTGATTTGGAGAAGACGAAGTTCAGTTTTTATTTTTGTTTTTTAGTTAATTATTTTATTATAGAAATATAAATTGACCATTTTACACATCATATAATCTTTCAATTTGAGTCAAAATTCCAATTTTAGTGTTAACTAATGGGATTCTGGATGGAATCCATCCAATGGACTCCGGCTGCCATTAAAGTAAAAGGTTTGGGACTGCAGCCGCAAAAATAGAAGGTTAAGGTATATTCTGCAACAAAATGAAAGGTTTGGAACCTCCGCTGCAATTTTCCCTATAACTTTTTTTGAGAAAGATATAAGTAGGGGCACATTTTTTTGGTTTTTTTAACTTGCTCAGTTTAATCTCTAGCGGTGTATTTGGCACTTGGTGTTATGCATGATAGACTTGTGTCCATTTATTAAGGGTTGAGAACATTTTCCATTTCAGTTGGAGTGTCATGTGTTGTTGATGACGACATGGTCCTGCATTTTGAGACCCTCCCTCTCCCTTGGAGTATTGTTTTCGTCACCATCTCACTCTTCGAAACTTGGGGAGGCTATATGGTTAGATTTGACGGAGTCCTTAATTTTCTATTTAATCAATTTCAAGTTGCTTTTGTTTTTCCCTATCTTTATTTGTGTGAAAACTTAATTTGCCGTGGTGGAAGAACTCAAGATGGCGTCTAGACACTCTAAATTTGGTATAAATCTCTAGAGATGTGAAAGTTTTGGTTGGTATTACAGACATTAAATATTTTGCGTCTATAAAGAAACTATTTCATAATAGACTTCCAGGCAGAGCATGTGCTGGACTTTGGTTGTGAATGTCAAGCTGACTAGGGAGACAAAAAATGAAATAGAATGTTCATCTGATAGTTCTGTTCATAGACATATTTCCGCCGACCTTCTAAGAGCATGTTTGGCCAAGCCTAAAAAGAAGTAACTTTGTTGTTTTTAATAAAGAAGTAACTTCTGAGCTTAGCCAAACATGTTTGGCTTCTTGCTTCTTTTTTAAATTTCTAGTGAAAAAATTGGCTTTTTCAGAAACCACACCTTACCCTAAAGAAGCAAATTTGCTTCTTTTGTGGGCTTGGCCAAACATGCTTAAAGCTATTCTAATACTTCTAATATTCGAATGCTTCTTGGTGCTGGTTGAAGTCGTGGGAAATGCGTGCACCAACCCTTCAAACTATCAAACATGCACAGAAAAAAAGAATGTTTGTGCTTGTCTGAGAGGTGAGGTGAGGAGAAGGTTGAAAATTATAATAATGACTAAGAAAGATGAAACCAGCGATTTTGGGAAGTGAAACAGTGACGTGCTAGCAATGGAGTGTATATGAACAACAGAGTGATTTAGAAGCCCTGGATTATGCTATGCTTTGGCTGAATGCATTTCCCTGCCTGCTTGAAAGTCAATACGAACCGCAGAAAGAACACGAAGGAAAAATACAAAGAAGAAATTGAGCTTCACCCTCTTTTAATCTCCGTCGATTACCAAACTTCCGACTTATATTGGTTTAGACTATTGATCTAATGGTCTAATTGGGTGGCAGCCCATCAAGACAAGTCTTATTTTTCATGATCCTTACCTCCTTATTGTCTTTAGCTTTATGTATTTTGATTCTACTTATGTACTTTCTTTGCGTTTCACCTACCGTACAGGTATGATATGGCTTCTAATCACTGGATAAAGGAGACAAGTGTGCCTAAAAAAGCTTCAGATGATTCATCAGTTGGGTTTGTCGCTTTAGATGGGGAGCTGCACTTGCTTACTCTACTGAATGGAAATGATTCACCAGACAGCCGACGATCACGACAGCATAAGAGGTTAGCAACACTGTTAATACAAATATATCATCCTAGGAAGAGGACATGGAGATCCATTATTACAAAACCACCCTTTCATCACCCTATAGATTTCAAAACAGCAGTTATGTGCACCATTCGACTGTAGATCCATTGATATCTTGATGCAATCTTATGCTGGATATCCTATTTGTATATAACTCTATATAGCTTGATGACCATATCAGTCTTCATAAAAGATATTGCAGCATGTAATTGAACATATATAAAGGGATGTAAATTCAATTATATTTCTTGTCTCTCTTCATTTTTTATTTTTTATTTTTGATTAAACGTATTAGTTGATGTAAAATCTATAATTTTTTGTTCAAGAATTAGACAAGTAGTTGGTTTCTCTTAAAATTTGAGTGTAGCTTCCATGAATGTACTGTCGTGTTCAATTTACCTAACATTGTATATGTCGTGCATCTGCCACCTTTGTCGTGGAATTTAATACTGTTCTTAACGCATTCCTAAAGTTTGAATCAACGAATTCCTACTCTCCTCGCAACAAAAGGCCCAGTCAATTCAATTATTCAAGATAAAATAGATTTTGTAATAGTGATTTTCTTGGAGGATGGGTTAATAGAAAGTATCGGAAATTTTTAATTTTACGTGTTAAATTATTTGATTGGAAGAATGTTTGATTAAAAATGAATTTTAAAAAAAGAAGTGAATTTTTTGAATATATACAAATGTAAAAAGTTGCTGGAATTTGATCTCTGCCTACTAAAGCCGAGTTAGAATTAACTTAAACTTGTGAAAATAAATAAATAAAAAATGATTTCATTTCAATTATCAAGTTTCTACTCAAATATGATTTTGTACATCATTGTTATTACTGTTCTTAACGCTTCTTTTATCTGGCCAATAATTGATTGAATTAGCCGGACTGAGTGGTAATTTATTTGTTTAGATTGAAATAATAAAAATTCATGAATTTTGATAGAAGATAGCGATATACTTTTATAATTTGTGAAATTTTTATATGCAAAAAAACACTTTAATTTGTTGAATTTTAAATAGAAATATAGTGGATTTGCTTATTTGAATAATTTTAATTTTGTTCCAAAGAGATTATCAAATAAATTAGAGAAATTTAAGTATTGTAATGAAGTGTGAACATCGTTACTATTTTTGACTTCAATTAGCTCTTGTTTGGCTCTCATTTAAAAAAAAAAAAAACTATTTTCAATCATAATACAGAACCAAGATCGAAAACAATAAAAAAAATCAGTCATTCACAACCATTGATGAAGGATTCTTCGAAAATTAAGGATTAATAATCTTTTTTTCTTTTTAAGAAATCACCAACATTTATCAAAATTTACTAAAATTTTAATTTTTATCCAAACTAACCAAGGGCCCAACTTTAATTTGTTTTTCTATTTTGTAGTATTTTTTTATTATAGACTTATTTAACTGAATAATTATTTTACTATAATGTTGATTGATTGAACCATTTCTTGCGTTGTGTTTAAATGTTCAAATTTAGATCCAACTTATTTTCAAATTTTACTTTCAATCAGTCAATTCAAATATTGTTTCTTACTAACTAGAACAACTACTTAAAGATTTTCGTTCTAAACAGATTTAATTCTGAACTCTTAAATTTCTCATGTATCTACGATTTTGCAGGCTAATTTATAAAAATTTGAGTGAAATGCAAGAGGGACCATAAATTTTAAACCAAACCTGATCTTGTTTCCCTTGTCACGACTCGTTCAATTTCTAATTCTTTTGCAAATCCCCCTAGTCAATAGTCAAACCCTATACCATGAAATTGAAACAAGAATAATTCAAGTCATACGTCCTCATTTTCATTTTTCTATTTTCATGCACTAAATATACATATATGATACATATACACACAAACACACACTCAATTCGCAAAAACCTACAATTAATTTGCACGTATTCTCCCTTTGCTTGTTGAACAAAATGAAGGCACCAAATCTTCTCTTAGCAATCATAGCAATAATTTTTGTTCTAAACAAACAGAGTAATGCTATTCATCCCCACTGTGATTACAAACACAGTCAATGTGACGTTAATGTAGTATTAAATTATAGGTGAAATTAAATAAACAGTCTATGTGACGTTAATGTGCTTTAAATGATAAGTGAAATTAAATAAGTCATTTAATTTCACATTTCATTTAACATATCATTTAGAGTCATCTAGACTGTGTTTATAACCCATTGGGGATGAATAACTTTACTCAAACATTAAACTCTACGAAACTGCAAGAATTCTTGATGAAGAAGAACAACAATGGATGAGAATGGGACATCTAGTTTTACGATCCTTGCATACGCGCCTTGTTGGCCCTCCTTCTCCTAATGGCTGCACATGGGTCGGTGGTAGCAATGGCAAGCCATGTCAGAGCTCTGTCAGCGAGAAGAATTTCGCAGGGCATATTGTGGCGACGCCTCCACCACCACTTGCAACTGATCATAATGCCTATCTAGAGCAAATGGTTCAGTTTGGAATGGTCATCGATCGTATATAATTAGTCTGAGCGTAACATTATGCTAATTGATATTTAACCTTTCACATGGTTGTTGAGAAATATAGTTTTTGTAGATATATAAATTAAAGATGTGTCGACTACTTTCTATAAATTAATGACACATCGTGACCATCAATTCCGTACTCCAAATGAAATAGCATATTGAAACTGGGGATCCTCCTTGTAAGAAAAATACTGAGTGTACACCAATTGCGGACCCCACACTCTTTGTGAGCGGATTGTCATACAAGGTGTACACCAAGTACATCCCTCGTGAATATGAACCTCACCCCTCCCTTAAGAGGTAGGATTTTTCCAATTTGCCATGACATGGCCATGGCAGTGTAGCATAACTCTAAAAGGCATGCCATCAATCATTTTACATAATATTTTATGCCCCTTACTCATTAAAGTTTTGGAAGGTTAAAGGTCTTCGCTCTACACTTTTTTGTCGAGTTAAGTAGTAGTGCCTAATTATTATCAGTGTAGAGTCAATAAATGGATCAACCTCCACAATGATATTATCGTTGGGTTTGAAAGGAGCAGGAAGCCCCACTCCCCAAACCAAAATTTCATAAAATCCTTGTTTGGTCACCATTATTTTCAAAATATAATTTTCTCTCTTATTTTCAACTACACATTTTTCAAAAATAATATTATATGCAAATTCAAAAAATTTCTTTATTTTTTAACCACATATTCACCATCAAATCACTATTCCAAAGTGCACCTTTTGTTTTCAAAAAAAAGGCTTAAAATTTTGCCAATTTTTTCTTAAATTAGGGAGTCGTCGCTAAGGTTTTATAATTATCATCTAAAAGAGATGGATGTTAGAGAAGATGTGGTATGCTCTTTTACTCTTGTAATCATCATAAAACTTGTCTCAATCCATACTTGACATGTGAAGTCACAACCCTTGACATCGACAACATGTAAAGTTTGTTTCATTTAATTTTTTCACGAGACATCAAAGTAGTGAATAATGACTTCCATTGTTGGTCTTCCATGAATGGCTTTAGGAGACCTTTTCATTACACCTTAAAGTAGTGAAATGACTTCCATTCAATAAGCTATATTTTTTTCAAAAGAGTAATACCATTTATCATTATAGTGATGTGATATCGGTGATGTTACACTTATGTAGAATAATGAGACAAAACAATTCAATTTTTATGAGAGGTGAGAGATTGCACTGTCATATCACATTATTACACCTAAATTGTCATATAATTGATACTCCATCGTTATAATTATAAATAGCATTATTCTTTCCAAAAACAGATGAACAATAGCAAATGAAAAATGGTGCTGACGAATTCTACCTTTTTCTTGTCAAACACGGTTGACCTTAATGTTGATTAACCTAGGACGGGTTTAAGGAAGTAGCAAAAGACAAAGATATTCATTTCAAAAAGATGGAAACTCTATAATTTTAACCAAACCTTGTTTTTTTTCCCCACTCGTCATGACCCATTCAAATTCTAATTTTGCAAATCCTTCGAGTCAATAGTCAAAGTTTTTGCCATAAAATTAAAACATGAAATATTCAAGTAATAAATTTTAACGGTTTTCTCTTATCATTTCATGCACTTTATATATGTTGGGTTGTGTCTGTGTGTGCCCATCTAATATAGTTTTGCTGATATAAAAATAATATTCTTATATTATGTAAAATTGTTTGAAACTAAAACTTCAAACATTCAAACGCGTAAAACAAAATCCCCGATCAATTCCACATTAAAAAAATTACTTTAACATGATTTTTTTATTTTTTATTTTGTCGGTTTGGTTTCAATTTTTAATAAATTATCTTTGGATTTGTCTTTCTTTTTTCCATATATCATAAAATAATTTTACCTAGAGAAAACATATTGGAAAATTAGTTTTTATTTTTTAAAGACATTTTTTCAAGGAAAAAATAATACATTAGTGTTGATCAATCATATTATTATTAAATTGATTTTAATCGTTTATTTCCCTCGTCATGACCCATTCAAATTCTAATTTTATGCAATTCTTTAGGGTCAAAGTCAAACCAAAAAATTGTACATGAAATATTCAAGTCATAAATATCCATTCTTAATTTCTGTTTTCATGCACTATATATACACACAGACATTACAAACAAACACATCTCCAATTTGCATTTATCAACCAGAATTAATTCCTCTTTACTGCTGAACAAGATGAGGGCTGCTACTGTTTTCTTAACTACCATGGCAATATTTTTTCTTTTATACATTAAACCCTACGAAGCTGCAAGAATTCTTGATAAGGAAGAACAACAATGGATGAAAATGGGACATTTAGTGTTACCATCCTTGCAGAGGCGCCCCGTTAACCCGCCTTCGCCAAATAGCTGCTCATGGGTGGGTGGCAGCGGTGGCAGGCCATGCCGGAGCTCTATAAACGAGAAGAATTTTGCAGGGCGTAGTGTGGTGGTGCCTCCTCCTCCTCCTCCCCCACCACTTGCAGCTGATAATGCGTATTTCCTCAGCCAAAAGTTTGGAATGGCAACTGATGCCAGATGAAGACACTTTGGTGCCATTACAGAAATGCCAACTACCAATTCTTTGAAGACTTAACAACAATTATTTATTGACTTTAGACTGTGCCATAATACATAAGCAATTGCTGATGAAATTTTTTCATTTTTGTTTGGTTAAAAAACCAAACTTTTTCTTGTTCCATTCTTCTTTATGTTTTGTGTATTTTCATGTATTCATTTTTACAAACAAAACAATAAATTAAAAGAAATTTAAAATATATTTTTCTAAGTGTTCAACATTATGTAATGTTTTATTTGTTCATGTACTCGCAGACAATTTTCAAATCAAAGGGTAACAGTGAGGCATGCATGAACTTAGAATCCTTATTTATTATTATATTCTACACATTGAATTGCCTCGAGTAAGAAAAGAAAAAAAATATATATTATATATTTATATTTTAGACTCACCTTTTTTCAATATAATAGGTAATATTTAAAGTCGGGAAATTGGCACAAATAATCAAAAACATATTCCCACCTTGTGTTTTTGTCCAAATCTTTAAATAACCGATGCATCTTGGCATAATTGATCTTTTTGGATGAATTACGTCCAAAAAATTTAAGAAATTCTTGAAGTCAAACCAACTTAGAGATGCCAATAGGACGGATCGGTGTTAGGACAACCTCCCCCCGTCCCTCGCCCTATAACGTAATTTTCCGCCCGCATTGTATCAATACAATTCCTAAATCTTAGAATCTGTGAACCTCAAGTTACCTACAAAAAGAACTTTTTGAAAACCTCAAAACTAAGATTATTCGACCCAAAAAGCGAAACCCTAATTTTTTCCGACAAAAACCCAAAATCAAGAATTTTGATTCAGGGGAACAATGGTCACCCAAAAACATAACTTCATCAAAAACACAGCTTAAAGAAAAGCCCAATAAATTCTTAAACTTCAAAAACCCAAGTTCACTTTAAATCAAACATTTGAGGAAACTGCAATAAAATTAAAACCTTAAAATTGTCGAGTCTTGAGCTAAACACAATTTCTCAAGTTTACACCCCTTCAGAAAAAAAAAACCCCCCAAGTTCTCCCGCTGGATTTCACCAAAAAAAAAGAACAGCTTCAAGTTTGATTTCTCAGGGAGAATTCAAGAATAGGATTAAAGATTCAAGATTTGTAGTGCAAATTACCTGAAATAAAAGATAGATTCATGGATGTGCATGTTATGTGTGAAGTCGCTCGTGGTTCATGTGAGTTCAACCACTTTGGATTTGAAAGACACCATTTTCGTTGCAGTCATTTGTTTTGTTTGGTTTTATTTTTTCGATATTGTATTCACGCGTGATGGCATATGGGACATCTAGTTTTACCATCCTTGCAGACGCGCCCCGTTGGCCCGCCTTTGCCGAATGGCTACACATGGGTGGGTGGCAGGCCATGCCGGAACTCTGTCAGCGAGAAGAATTTCGCAGGGCATATTGTGGCGGCGCCTCCTCCACCACCAACACTTGCAGCTGATCATAATGCCCATCCAGAGCAAATGGTGCAGTTTGGAATGGCCATTGATCGTATATAAATGCCAACAACTACTCTACTTTGGAGTTTGGACTGTGTCGTAAGTGTTAGAATATTCCCAGCTTCAATTCAAGCCAAGCTTCAGCATATCCAGCTCACCACAGCAGTCACAGCACCAGCACGTTCCCTTCTCCAGCTCAGCCAGCAAGCAGCACACGTTCCCGCTCCTCTTCCAGATTCTACCTCCTTCTAGTCCCTTCTATAGTTTGTTAGTTAGTTAGGAATTTAGTCTATAAATAGGGAATTGTAATTCCATTATACTTGAGCTTGATGAATTAATAAATTCTCCTATCATCATCAGTTCCTTCAATGTGGTTTCCATGTTGAATCTATCATTTAGTTTCTGCTTCAGTTTTATTTTCGTTCCTGCATTAGAGTAGCTTAAATTCAGTTATCTATCTTCATTTCTGCTGCTGGTTAAGTTCGTTTTCTGCTGGTATAAATTTCATTTTCTGCTGGTGCACGTTTTGGCTGATCTGTTCTTCAGCTAGTTCTGATTTCGATTTCTGCTGACTTCAAATTCTAAGATGGTATCAGAGCGGTGATGGCTTCCTGCTGCTGCCTTCGTTTTGTTCTTGAACAGCTTCTTCTTCCTTTGTCACTAGTGAATCTGGTGACTTCAATAATAGAAGTGATTCTGAATTGTCCATCTCCAACAGGCATTCCCGTTATCTTTGCAGCAAGATCAGGCTTCTGTTGACATGCTTGTATCTAAAGCTTAAAGCATTTCTGGAGACAGCCATAAAAGTCCCGACATAAACCTTCTTCTTCATTCTCGTCCGCCATTTGTTTGACAAAAGTTCCAAATGACATTCTGCAAAACCAAATCTGCAAAACCAGATCAATTCTTACTCGTCATTGAATTATTCCGCCATTAATGATGGATCCAAATCATTTACCAGATTTTCCCGCCTCCTGGATAAATTACA